ATTCTCACTTGATCATAGTAATTCCATCCTCTCCCTCACTTCAATGCCAAGAATGCTTACTCTATGACTAGATCCAACCAACTTGCAGGCAAGTGATGCTACAATTTAAAAATGAGAAAATTACCTTGTACCAGTGAGATCACATTAGACAATATCCTTGACTTGCATTACTCTTAGATTTGTGAATGACTTTATACTAGCTATGCGCAAGACCTTGAGTACAGCAGTCGTTGAGCACATCTACCCCCCCATGAGAATAAACAAAGTCATTTACAATTAACTTATTCACTGAGAATTTAAGACTAATAACCAGAATCTTGTAATAATGGATAATCAGTATTCAGTTTCCCATTTCAATCATCATTTCTGATTTATTGAATAACCGATGATTGGTTCAATTATTCACACATAAGTGTTGTCGAAGGTAAATTAAATGTCATACTTTCACAATTTATATATATATAGGAAAACCATCCAATAAGACCATTTGCCTTTGGTACAAGGTGGTCACAATTAATCTTGACCATTAGATGTGAAATTGAATGATGGCATTTATTCCATTGACCATGCACAAATTTCAAAAGAAATTTTTTTGAACTTTGTGACACACCAAGCAATGAGATTTCATATCGGATGGTTATAAATAATTGTGACCTCCTTGTATCAAAAGTAAATGGTCTCATTGTATGCAATCCCATATATATATATATATATATATATATATATATATGTATGTGTGTGTGTGTGTACAGTACACACATATATATTTCCATGTATATAATTCAAATAAAAAGAAGTTATTGGTTAGGACCTGAAGAAGCGTTACTTTATCCATTTTTGCTAGAATACCCACAGTTAAATCTGGACCTCCAGCACTATCTTCCACATAATTCAGATCTGACCATTGAACAGTTAGCCATATATTATTGATTTTTCTAATAAATCAATAACCATAATTTAATCAGCAGTTCAGACTTCAGATACATCTTAGAAGCATTAAAACAAATCACCCAACAAAGGAGTGTTGACAAGGTATCCAGCACTGCATGATGTAATTAGGTCGCGCATTGGAATTCCAGCATCTGCCAAAGCCAATGTGGCAGCATTGATACATGCAGACCTTGTTCCTGCAAAGAAAAACAAGAAGGAAATGCTCAGGCTTCTAAATATGAAAACTATAGCAAAACCCATCACCATAGAAATGAAAATTGATGAAAGTTTCCATTTGAACATATGTAATGTAGCATACCACTTAAAAGTAAGGATGCAGACGAGACACCTCTAAACTAATAAATATAGGACCAGGCATGAAAATTAGTAATGATAGGAAGCATAAAGCATATTGATCATACTGTAAACCAAGTAGCAAATTCTTGCAGATTGAAGTAGAGGCAATTCAGTAACATAAGCTTTAGAAAGAGTCAAGTTCAACAACTTGTTGTAGGATGCAGGAATGGGCTCAAGGCTAGGTGGTTGAGTTCCATATCATTGTATTGCTGATGTTAGTGTTCATGCTACTACTCATTCTACTGTTCATGCTAATGTTCTTTCTTTTAAGGCCATATATTTCTCTCTATTAAAAAAAGAAAAATCCTAACTGCTGTTCTCCTTTTTATCTTTTTCAAAATCCTAACTGCTTTTGTATCTCTTGCTAATCAAAACTTAGCTGCTGGTGTCTTTCCCTTCTTTCATCTTTCTTGAAATCCCTCGCTCTCTTGCTGTTTCTTTTTCTGTTAATAATAGCCTTGTCATTTTCTTCTACTTCTATTAGTCTTCCTAATCCTCAATACATACATGTTAAACTAACTATTTTACTTGGAAAGGTTTCCTTCTAACTTTTATAAGAGGCCGGCAGTTGTTGGGGCACATTGATGGATCATCAAAGCCTCCAGTTGAGTTTCTTACAAACGAAGATATTAGTGAAGATGGAACACTAAGAAAAGTTGTTGAACCCAACCTTGCTTATGATGATTGAGTATCTAAGGACCCAAATCTCATCAGTTGGATTTGTTCCGTTCTTTTAAAGGAACTTATTCCTCAAATAATTAATTCACCAACTGCTGCAGAATTAAAGGAGGCACTTCCTGACTTATTTTCTCAGGCAGCAGAAGCCCTAAGAATGCATATTTAAAGTGAGCTTCATGCTTGTAAAAGAATTAACATGTCAATCTCAGAATTCTATAACAAGATAAAAGCCCTATAATCAGCTTGCTATAGTGTAAGATCCTCTAAGTGAAAGGGACAAGGTCCATTACATTTTGAGAGGTCTAGGGGATGATTATACAGTGTTTGCTCCCTCTGTGATGATAAAGACTCCATTTCCCTCGTTTAGTGAATTGCAACAATTATTGTAGCAACATGAAGTGTTATTCAACCTTAAACCCTAATTGGAAAAGTCTTCTACTACAAATTCTCAATACAGGCCATATGAATCACAATGGAAGAGGTAGAGGACGTGGAGGTCGAGGTCTAGGTGGAAGAACTAATTTTCATCCCAATCAGAGTCATGGTTTGCTACCTACTGGATCATATGTCGCTTCAGATGGTGGTGTTGTTTGCAAGATATGTGGAAGGACGAATCATACAGCTGTTAACTGCTTTGATTGTTATAAAACCCACCCACTTGAAAATCAAGTTGCTGCCCTAAATCATTCTGCGGAGAACTCAACCATCATGTCACGTACAGAGACAGGTCGGTTTGTGGGATAGCGGTGCTGTAAATCATGTTTCAGGTGATAGTGGTATATTCTCATCCCTAATTCCTTACTCCGGTAGTGGCTCTATTATGATTAGTGATGGAACCTCCCTTAATATCACTCATATAGGAAGTGTAACAATTCACTCATCCTATGGTCCTATCTATTTATTTAATGTTTTCTTTGTTCCTAAAATTTGTCGAGAGCTTATTCCAATTTCTTAGTTATTCCGAGGAAATTCTAATTCATGCGTATCTACTTACCTTCGATTAGTTTATATGAAGGAACAAGAATAGGGAAGGTAGACTGCCCATGAAAATTGACATCTATTTTCAAGAGATTTTTCAGCAATGCTCCAATAGGACTATGACCTTCAATTCAAGCGTATATGTGTGGAGTCCAATGATCTGGCAGACTCATTGTTCAAGGATGGAACCTCTCGTTCACCTCTACAGCCACTCGAGTGCAGCATATGGTTCAACTAACCAAATTTTACAATTAGCCTGGATACAAATATATGCAATTCTAACAGCAATAATAGATATAAGATTAAGTTATTTATCAAAAAAAACATGGAAAGGAGAATATTTTCCTGAAATATAAAAAATTTTGTTACATCATTTTACAAAAAATCAATGACAATGTCAAAAAGCTCCTTTTTTTTTACCTCCATCAGCTTGAAGAACTTGCACATAGATGTCAATCTGCCAAGCATATTAAAAAATCTCAAAGATATAAACATATATACACACACACACATATATATACGGCCAAAAAATTCTAATAAGAGCGTACTTTCGATATCTTGGATCGATAATCTAAGAAAATAGAGAGATTGAAGAAGATGTCGCACATAGAATTAGAGCTGAGTGGGCAAAGTGGAAATGTGCAACTAGGACTTTATGTAATCGCCACATACCAATAAAGCTGAAGGGAAAGTTCTATAGGACAGTTGTGAGACCAGCTGTGATATAAGGGGCGGAATGTTGGGTGGTCAAAAAACAATATACAAATAAAATGAATATAGAAGAGATGAGGATGTTGAGATGGCACCAACAGACGATAAGATGAGAGAGGGTAGACTTAGGTGAGATTGCCATGTGTGGCGTAAACCCAGCATAACACCTGTTAGGAGTTGCGAGTTAGTTCAAGTAGAAGGCTCAAAAAGAGCAAGGAGTAGGCTCAAACGAACATCGTTGGAAGTAGTACGAAAAGATATGGGGACTTATGGCTTCACTGAGGGTATGGCCCTTAATAGAGCAGAACGGCAAACTAGGATATGTGGAATCGATTAGTTGGGAAAAGGCTTTGATGATGATGATGATGATATATATATATATAGAAAAACTCTTCCCAACGCCTATAGGCAAAAAAGAATAGTGATTTTGCCTACCCTCATCACCATCCATACTTCATCGCACGGTCACAATTGTCCGATAGTGTTTCAATTTTTAATTTTTTTTTTTACAAATTCAAATTACTTAAAATTTAGAACATGTGTACATTTTAGTAAGGTGCACTTAATAAAATATAGAAAAATAGAATATATATATATATATATATATATATATATATATATATATATATATATATATATATATATATATATATATATA